TGCTCTGAGCTGCGGGGGGCTCGGGCGCCGGGACGGCCCCGCCGAGGCGCCCGGGCCGCGCTGCTGGTTTTCACAGCGATGCTCTTGGCCCCGAGTCAAGCCCCTTTCACCTCCGCTTCGTCCCAAGCGCGGGAGTCGGCCCAGAGGCGGGGGAGCCCCGTCCCGGGGTGGGGCTGCTGGGCCGTGCGGGTGGGCAAGGGGCTCTGCCCGCTTCTCCACCGCGGGGCTGAGGTAGCCCGCGAGGCCCGGCGCCTTGTGGAGGCAGGGCACAAGAGGGACGGGGGCGGGTTCTCGGGCGGGCGGGCGGGGCGGCCCCTACTAGCAGGCACCCCGCGTCTGCCCCGCTCCGCCGAGATGGTGATTAACTTGTGTGCGCTCAGCTGAGCTGAAGCAACAACCCCCCCTTGCCTGAATTTGTTACTCTAATCGCATGCATTTGACATGCCGCATAAGTCGTATTTTTATTCCAGGCATGGAAAGTGGGCTTTTCATTGAATTCTCCTGTTAAACTACCCGTGCAGTTGCTCTCCCTTTGCTTGGTTGGACTGGCAGACAAAAACCTCTCAGGAACAGATAGTCCAGAGCAAAGAAGTCTGAAGTGTAAGAACTTTCTTGCATTGTCACTTTGCTGTATTCTATTTCACATCAGTGCCGTATCCAATATAATAGGCGAATTTACACTGTAGCAGATCCTGCACGATTATGCTCTGCATATTTGATGACACATTGCATATTTTAACAGGGTTTTTAATGACTGATTGAAATGTTTGCTAAGTTATTTTTTAAATGCTGGAGGAGAGAGAGTTGTGGAAAATGTGTGTAATGGAATAGTGAGATGGATAGGAGGATTTTGATTGATGGCATGAGGAAGCAGATGGATGACTAGGTAGGTCAGAGGTAAAGATGCCTTTGACAGCTTTTTAAGTTCCTCTGGCCATTTTGGTCCAATGAATCATGCAAATTATGTGTATACAATCAAACCGATGTCGCTTCATCGTATACTGTTGTAGTCCTCATCCTCTCAAACCCACCCTAACCTTCTTTCATCACCACTTGATGTGCTATGTTTAAACTGTATTGCAAGATCCTAAGGAGGCAGGAATCTGTCTTGTATTACTTGTCAGAAAAAAAGTAAACCTATGGAGTTACATGAACAACCACAACAGATTGGGAGAATAGGCGTAATGTGAAAACGTTCCTCTTAATTTTCTGTAACTTGTCCTCACTCCCTTCCCTGAGACACTACTTATGGGACCTCTGTTGAACAATAATTTTTTTTTTTTGCAACCTGCAGAAGGCTGAATCTGGTGATCAGAGATCTAACTTGCATAATTTTCCTAGAAGCAATGAGCAATGGCCAGGGTATAATCAAAAGCTTTTCTTTCTCTGTCCTAATTTTTGGGTGTTTTGCATGTTTCCCCCACAAATTACTTCACAAGCTTGAATTTCTCTGGTTTGTTTTCAGTCCAAAGGTTATTGTTTTTGGAAGGTTTGTTCAAATTAATTTGGATTATTTATGATATTAAGGAATAATGTGTGTGCAGGTGCGTGGGTGTTGGGTAGTGAGAGAAAAGGATTTCTCATGAAGATGTTTTTCAAATGCTAGCATTGTGCTCAGTTAACACACATTTTTGCTTTAAAAATTAACTTTGTTATAAATTTTACAGTGGGAAATGCGTGGCTTAGTACAATCGAAAAAATATTTGAGAAACAAAGTGGTTTCAGATGCATGTATGCCTTCAAGACTTTATTTTGTTTAGCTAAGTAGGTGTAATATATGAAGGTAGCCACATGCTAAACAGATATATGTACGTTTATCTCGGTGATCACATATTGCAGGTTTATCTAAATGTTACATGATATGAGAACACAAACAAAATACTACTTAATTTAATCAGTTGACTCTCTCCTAACTTGTTGAGAATTTTGTTCATTGTTGAGCATAGGTAATCTTTTCCATTGCGTATAGTTAGAACCTTAATCTATGAATAAATATGTCAGAATAATGTCTGCAAATAGAAAAGCAGCCTGTTTTTCCTTTTGAAATGATTTAACCCCCCTATAATATTGTTTAAAAAGTACTATGCCATTATGTCTTCATTTTTAAATAAGAAATAGGTCAGCAGTGACTTGGATTGTGTTTTGAGAGGCACTGAGGGCAAAAGGTTGACAATTTATCCTGCTGCCTTAGGCCTTTATCTTGCATCTTCTTTAAAACGTGTGAGTAACTTTAAGAACAAGGGCATTCCTATTAAGATTACTCGCTTGTGTAGAGCTTCAGAAGCAAAAATGTTTTCAGGATCAAGACTTTCCCTAATGATTGTAAGATTATTATATTTAGAACTGTCTGGTTGACTAGGAGTGGTCTTAACGATTCTAAATGTTTCCTTTAGTGGAAATGCAGTATCACTGAGATAATGCACTGTGTTATATAAGATCCCATTTGATATTTTTAAGTAAATTATCCTAGGATTCTTGGTATTTTTTTCAGTTTTTCTGTAATTGTGCGTCAAAATGTGACTTAACAACAGTCTCTTGTATATCGTTACACTTTACTTTTTTAATGTGCCATGTTATGGCATTAATTTTTAGCAGGATTCACACTTGAAATAAATTTAGTCCTGGATTGACTGCTCTCTATTTATTGTTCATGGAACCAGTAGAACCCATGATTTGAGATGACAGGGTATTTTGCACTTTGTGTCTGTTTAAGAAGAGGGTACCAAAACATACACCATTTTGGATGGAGGTGTCTGCCCACTTGGAAATGAACTGAAATAACTCATTTTAATAAGTGATACTCATCAACTCTTTTTCAGAAATGTTCTTTATGGAAGGTAAGCATCTTGCTCAGATCATTCCTTTTTGCAAAAGTGCTTGCTGAGGAGAGAAAGGTTACCTCGTGGGATTGGGCAAAACATAAGATTGTTGGGGTTTTATATTCCTGATAATTGTGGATGAGGGATTTAATCCTAATTCCTGTCAGGGCCTTATCCATGGAGGTCCCTTATCCTTTAAGGTTTTCCTTACCCCTTATCCTTCCTAATTTGTGTCAAGGCCTTGCTCTTGTAGAATGGTTTATGGAATGCTAAGGCAAGGATCTTGTTCTATGGACAATGGATCAGCAAGAAATTCAGACCTAATCTTTGCAGGCTGTCAAGGGACAAGACATTTTACTAGCCAGCCTTCCTCCCATGAGTATGGCTAGCTGTCATACTGTGCTAGCCATGGGTGACGTATAAGTACTGACAGTGGGGGAGCAAAACGCTGCACTGCTGACACCCCTGCTACTGCCAGGCACTGGGTCTGGCTGGTCGCAGCCCCAT